TGTTGGGTGTTTATCTGGCATGGACGGTTTGGAAAATGCGGTGGATGGGATAGGGTACTTTGCAAGGCAGATCACGTTCATTCCTGCCTTCTGATTTTTCTTTTTGTTTTCTTTTCCTTGTTGTGATCTTCTGGTTGGAATTTCTTTTGCCCCGTTGACGTCTCTTGTTGAATCTTGGACACAGGTCTGTACACATAGAGAGGCATGGATCGGCCCGATTTCGTGTTTTAATTTTGGCGAGAAGCGAAAGACGAATGAATTCTCAATATTATCAGCAATGCTGGCGGGTACGTCTGATTGTTCTGTACAGGAAAGTTGCTCTCCGTTGAAGATATCGGATAGGCAACTGTACTCCGTAGCTGGTAAACTAAACTATCGGTCCAGATAACGTGACGTCGTTGTCCGCCAGGCGCCACTTCCGCGGTCCTTATCAACCTCACAGAGTCCAGACTCGCTCAACCCTCCACTCTTCCTCGAGAGAAAGGCAGAAAGAAACCCAGGAAGAAAGGAAGAGGGGAAGGAAGGCAGGAAGGACGCACAAGGAAATCATGTGGTCACTGATTATCAGCATGCGGCTCTCATTTGGACAATCACTCATCTGAACAGGCTCTTTTTCGTGACTTTCCGTCCTGGCAGCCCACCCTTCGAAGTCGTTCAATATGGCCTCCACTCCATCGCAGGCGTTGACCAAACGTCAAAATGAACAAAGTCTTATGCCCCCTCCTCCTCCACCGAAGCGGATCAAACGGCCAGCCACGGTTCTGGACGAAGATGTCTACACGAATGCCTTATCGGAGATTATTGCTCGTGACTACTTTCCCGGACTGCTGGAGGAGCAAGTGAAGCAGGAGTACCTAGACGCACTGGAATCGAAGAACAAAGAGTGGATTGCGAGTTCGAAAAAGAAACTCACGGATTTGTTGAAGACTCCCGGCAGAGCTCGCAGCGTTCCCCGGCTCCATGGTACAGAACGACCCGACGACACCCCGACCGGCTGGCAAGGTGATACGCCGAGGTCGGTGATCTCAACGACGACTACTACAATGCCTGAGACCGCTCCAAAAGATATCCCAGATATCACCAATCTGGGGCTCATGGCTTTTCAGGCCAAATACACCAGCGAGGACAACGAGTCGTTCAATAAACTGCTGGACAAGCAGAATGCCAAGCGCCAGGAGAAGTATGCCTGGCTCTGGAGTGGAAACAAGATTCCTACAGCTCGGCAGATTGCCCATCGACAACGGGAAGCGAAACGCATCGCAGCACAGGGGGGCAGTACTGAGCGACAGCTAGCGATCAAGACGGATTTGGACGCCCGGCCCGCAAAACCGGATACGTGGAAGTCCAGGCCGGAGAACTCGCTCATGTTCATGCCGTCTTCGATAGAGGATACACACGAGACGATTTCACAAAAAGCTGAAGCGGTTTCGCGCGCGGGGCCTAAGCGAGTGGTGCACGAGAATACCAGGCTGCCGGAGCCAAGTGTTCGGCACGGTTCTTCTGCGGCTGAGGGCAACGACGTCCCTCCCTCGCCATCGATATCTGCCATCAAAGATGCCATTGCTGGCCGGCCCCGACTCACCGAATCCGAAGCGGGATACGCGGGGGGGGAGACGCCACGGGTTAACGGATATGCTTTTGTCGACGAGGACGAGCCCGAACCGGACTACGACCATGCTGCCGCGGAAACCTCAGAGTCCACATCCTTGTCAGGTGATGATCTTCGCCTGCTCGGTGCGAGCGACTCTACTCCCAACCCGTTCTCGATCAGGGAGAACCGCAAACGCGAAGATCTGCACCACCGCATAGTCGACCGGGTAGCAAGAACGAAACGCGCCGAGAAGGCGGCGCGCGAGGTTAGAACGCCCATAACGCCGCGTTTCGCGAGCAGCCCTCGGTTGGATTTTGGGCTACGTACCCCTGCGGTTGCTGCATCCAGCGGACAGGGCAAGGCTCTGACCCCTGCGGCGCAGAAACTACTGCAACGGGTTGGAAGCACCCCTCGACCGGCAGCAAGCTCCTCGAGTCTGAGGAATATGTGGACCCCGACTCCCAGGAGAGCTAAATGATTGGTGACCTTTTCCTACGAGCCGGCAAGATCTGTCGTATCTCTTCCCTTGGGCCATTACGTTTATGGTTGATAGATTTTTCTCCGGATGATTGGGATGTTCGGCGTTGCTGGTGGGTTGCATTGCGAGGCGGGTATTCAGTTATTCTAAATTTCACAGGGCATTCTCTTGATCATGATATAACAAGGTCACACTCCCCGAAAGGTTGATATGCACTCATGCGGACGGGGCGATGTTCCATTGCAAACATGTCACGGTTTGTACCAATTTCCTTGGTAGCTAAAGTTGGTAGCTAAAGTCCATGGAATTATGTAGAAAATGCAATTCAACCAGCTATGCAATGGTAAACTTTCAACAACAGATAGCAAACAATAGATCAAAAGCCAGGGAGGGTATCATCGAAACCAATTATTCTGCACCGCGATTCGCTCCAATGGGAAGAATCCTTGGAAAAAGAATGCATCTAAGCGTCCACCCTGAGAGCCCAGAAAGATAACCAGAAGCTCCCCGTTGCAAGTAAAAGCCAACCCAGAGGCTCGCGGAGGGTCCGTCCAGCGTTCAAGTCATACGCTGCCCCCGGATAGCTGCAGGTGATCTCGCTGCTCGAACCACGCTGGCCGTAGGCAGAATTGAGCCGCTTACCCTGGGGACAACTGAACTTAAGGGCGGCGGGACAGCGCTTCACCAAGCTGTAGCAGATGTCCTGGCACGGCAAGAGCTCCTTGTAAGGGCCCGGGCGGATCTGATCGTCTATCATGGGATTGCGCGACTTGTTCTGCGCAGGATCCCTGTGCCTGGGGTCGGTGGGACTGAGAGTACTGCCGTTGATGAATTGCTGGCCCGCGTTTCGGACCTGGAGAAACAAACCGTTGCTCGAGAAGTCAGCGCAACGGGGGATAGTCACCGCACAAAGCCATTGCTTGTAAGCATCCGCACAGTCGTTGCAACCCACAGCCAAAGAGAAGCTGGTTTCGTTGGTCGTGTTGCATTGGATCTGATCCAGGGAATAGGAAAAGTTTTTGTATAGAGACTCGGCATATTTGTCATATTTCGAACCAAGTTGTACGATCCCAAGATCAGGGTTTGATGGGACTGCGTACGCAACTTCGGAGCAGAATGTCAGGTTGAAAAGGACGGCACAATTGTCATCTGGTCCAGGTCAGCACCTTCGTTCGATACAAAAGAGAAACCCGGGCTGCTGGCTTGCTCACCTGACTTGGTTGCAAAGTACATAGGTTTCCAGACCCTCCCTCCTCCGCCAACGATCCCATTCCCTGAGTTGGTAGAGTTTCCATCCATTGCGAGAATTCCAGAGTAATTGGAAGTCCGGTTGAGACCAGTGATGTAGAACTGCTCCTTAGGTTTCTTGCCCAGACCACGGTTCGTCATACCACCTTCAACCCCGTGGTCACCTTTTCCAATCTGGGCTAACCGCTCAAGAGCACAGTATGACCGTTGAAGACCTGAGATTGCCGTATCATTCACATTATGAGCAAACATTGTGAACGGCGGTGTGAGATTCATCCACTGCTGATAATTCTCGCTCCCCTCTTCTGAAAGGGTCAAATTGTCTGTTGTCAAGAGTGCAGCATGGATGTCCGAGTCAACAAAGTGTAAAAATGGCTCGTCCACAATGCTGTGAAAGTAAGCGTCGATTGAGGCAGCAATCTCATACGTGTAGCTCCCCGAGTACGCCGTCGAATTCTGCACTGCGATCCCTATGAAAACGTCCCCATCTGCCTGCACAGAAGCTCCCACATAGCCATCATCGGCCGTGAACACGTTCTGCTTTGAGCTATCTTGTCCCGGGCCCGGTTTTTGGAGTGACTCTGAGGTAGAAACGTATAAATTCAATTCCGGTAATGATGGGACAGAGTCAGGAATAGTGCCATTGGTATTGTTGATCTCGGGCTTTGAGCACATCGTCAGAGAAAGATATACGGAGGTCGAGCGCTTCACGATGTCTCCATCGCGCTTCCGAGGTTCGTCCGAACTGACAGTTTGCTCGCTTGTTCCGTCAACAGAAATACTCTCGGGGAGCCCGGATGTGGAGTTAGATTTCTTGCCGTTCACGGACTCCTTGGGAAAATACCACCATTGTGTCTCTCCAAGCTTGATATCGCTGGTCTTGAACTGATTGTTCCCTAGAGACGATACGCCAGGTGGAATCCTGCGAACAAGGTCGAGACCTCGAGTCTCTCCATTTTCGCTCACGGTATCCTGAACCTCAAGTCCACTGTATGATCCATGGGGGAATGTGAATTGTTGTGCGATGTCGTTTAGAATTACATTCGTGTCGTTGCTGGAGATCACAAGGGCGGAATCCGAGGGCGGATCAAGAGCAAGGCACGGCTTGACGAGAAAGACAGGGGCGTATAATATTAAGGCGCCGAAATATGCAGCTGAAAGGTAATGCATAGATGAAAAATCAGTCCGCATGGATAGTTGCATCAATGGGCTGAGCTCCGAAGAACGATATCCACCTCAGGCTCGAAAATTACAGAATCAACCAGAGATAAGGCAGCAGCTTTTCTCTCATGGCGGGATACCTGCGAGAAGCAATGCTATGAAAACATTCGCGGGAAAGTTCGTCGCGAGAGTTGTCGAAGCAAGAGAAACCAGCTCGCTCTCAATAGATTCTGATCTACGAAGTAGACAAGCGGTATTCCTCACTTCGAAGGGGGCTGCGCCACAAAAACGGCACAGCCACTCCTCTACTTCTTCAATCGCAAGTCTCCACATGATCCTATCATCTCCTGTCATGCAAAGACCAACGTGCGCAGTTGGATGGTACTTTTAATTACAGTAGTAGATATTAACGACTAGTTCAAGGAAAGACAGGTAGTCCAATGCATTATAAGCGAAAACCGTGCCGTATATACTTTGTTATTATAGGACACATAAACGGCAACAAAAACTATACACGCTGCTCTAAACGAGCTTGTAATACCGAGCAGCTATACCACTGAGGACAATAACAGCACCAATGACCCCCACGATGCCGAAGAACCATCCCAGGCCTTCCTCCCCTTCACCAGGAACTCGGACATTCATTCCGAACAGACCACAGATCAGATTCATCGGGACCAACATGGTGGCAATCAGCGTCACCTTGCTCAGGACTTTATTGACATGATTGCCCAGCACCAGGTTAGTGACATTGAGCTGCGCAAGATAGTTGGTATGTGAGCGGCTGAGCATCTTCTCGAAGTGGGCCAAATTTGACATCATGGTCACCACGTGATCTTGGATGTCACCTAAGTAAAGGCCAATGTCCCCACGCGGGGTGACGGAGTACTGCTCGTTGCAACGCTTGGAGAAACCACGAATGACATCTGCTTTGCCACCTAGAAGGCGCATCAAGCTCATAACCTTCTTACGAAGGCCACCGATCCGTGGTAAGAAGGATTCAAAATCGTCGACGCGGGCGATGAAAACGAGGTCCTCAATTGCCTCGGATTCGATCTCAATCTCTCGGATGACAGGCCCAAAACTATCAACGATGTCGTCACTGTGCCGACGTTAGAACAGATGGTCTCATTGGGGAATCATGCCCTTGCGACTTACATCATGGCATAACAGATCCAATCACTACTGAGGGACACATAATCACGGAGCTTCCCAATTCTTTTCCTGACATTTGCCGCGTGTGGATTCTCGGTGAATGAGAATGAGAGGACACCATCGCGGAAAACAACCATGTAGAAGTTGACGGGCTCCATGAAGCGTTCGTCTGTCTTGTCGAGCTGATAGAATGTCCGGAAGCAGACAAAGTAATATTGCTTGAAAAGCTCAACCTTTTCACGGGCTTCTTGAGTCAAGATATCTTCTGTAGTCAGTGGATGGATGGAAAAAGCACGCGAGAGTGCGGCAACTTCCTCCTCCGTCGGATTGAGTACGTCCAACCACCACACACCTCCCTCCGGGCCAAGTTGAAAGAGATCCCTGAAAGTATCGCCAGGAAGCACAAGGTCCCCTAGCTCCGCCGCATGCACAGTGCTCTGGGACTCGGATGAGAAAAACCCGAAGCGGGTCGGCTCGTTCTCATTCTGAAGCTTTTCCACTATGTCCTTTCCATCCACAACGTTCGCATAGACCTTATCGGTTGTCTTCAAATCCGGGTCCATGAGGTCCGAAGAAGAGCGATCAGCACTCTTCTCGCGTTCAACATCAGACTTCCGAACCCCTGGTCGCAGATCATAGAAAACGCGAGGTCCCCGACTTTGAGAGCTTAGACTCTGCTTACGCCGAGTAGTCGAGGGCTTCATTTGCCGGCTCAGAGCCACAAATTCCTCCAATTCCTCGTAGTCGATCACCGGGATCCTGCCAGGTTGCTCATAAGTCGGCACGCAAGTCTCGTCACTTGGTTCTAACTGGATATCGCCTGGTTGCGGTCTAATAGCACTCGCGTTACTAAAGGTCGGACGGCGGGGATGAGTACCGCCGGACACTGTGCGCTGCAGAATGGCCTCAAGATCTGGAGCCGCATGGCTCTCCAGCGTATTCGCACGCTCACGGCGGCGGGGGTCTGCGAAGGCTTCAACCGAATTCGGAGGCGATGATGACCTAGCTGAGGGAGATGATTCTCGTGACATATTCGCAAGTTCCTGGTGGGTTCGGCTCCACGTACGGCCATGGCGGAAATTACCGGTTGGGTCAACGGAGAAACGACGGCCCAGGGTATTAACATCTTTGCCTGATCGATCATCATCTAGTATAGCTTGCTCGAAATCCCGGGAAAGCGACCCCGCTTCCCGAAGCGCATCTTGAATTGAGAGCAAATCGGGACGCTGAGGCGTCTCTTGAGGGTAGGCATGCTGAGCAGTGTTTTGCCGACTCAGAGAAATATCAGCGGTGGCTTCAATCCGAGGTGGGGAATCGAGTTGAAATCGATGATCATCTAATTCGGGAACTGGCGTGCTGAACCGAGTCAGGCACATGTACTTCTCGGACTTTGGTGATTCAGACATTGTTGCTGGTTCGACGTCGTCGCAAGTACAGTTATTAAGAGTTGATCAACCGATAACGTTAGGAAAAGCGCAGGTGCGAGGGCTTTGTGAGTGTGACTGATTCGTTTCTTGACGCCCAACCGAGGAAAGACGACAGACTATGAAGGCACTCCGGAAAATAGTGTTCCTCCATCCATTAGCCAGACCCCTTTAGAGGGCCCGGCATTACCGATGCACCTGTTCGTGCCAAAATTGAAAGTTTGCTATGTAAGCCTAGTTAAGGGGGTCTGGTGTCGCCCCCGCAGAAGACCCTGAACTTGGGGCCCAAAAGAGGGTGGAGGAAAGAGGTCCGGTTGCAGCGAGTCCCCGCCAACTTGACTGTGTAATGAGGATAGGAGCCTTGTCGCTCCAGAATTGCGATAACAGGGGGTGTTATGTCGACAAGTGGGCTCTTTAAAGAGGTTTGTCGAGATACACCGCAGATCCTTTTGTCGATGACGTTAATGTAATAAGAATCCCGCTGGAACAAGAGAGAAATATAGCTCGCGAGTCAACAAAAAGCCAACCAAGAACAGAGAACTAGCAATCGAGTCAAAGCTACAGGTAGATGTGAAGATCAAAAAGAGAAGATGATGCAAGAATTTTCAAACCCAGCGACGGGTTGATGAGCAGAGAGGGGTGTGATGCGGAGGGCTTTTCCCAAGGGAATAAAAACTGATAAATTCAGGCCACACTATGCTGAACGGCTGAACCACCAATCTGCACACAGAGACAGGATCAAAGAATCCAATTGAATGAATAAATAGGATAATGTAATCCTATAAAGGCAAATAGTTGGAAAGGGTGTACACCCAGGTGGGTTGAAATGAGTAGTCCTCGAGGTGGAAGACAGGAAGACTGGACGATGGTTTTTAAGGAAAGGTAACCACACTAAAGTCACTGCTACAATAGGGTAAGGAGGGAGGAAAAAAGGGAAAAAAAAAAGAGAGAGAGAAAAAGAGGGGCAAAAAGCTGTGTACAGAGCCATAACGGGAACATTACAGCACATCCGTTGTAAAGGTAGGTAACTTACCTTAGGTATCCACTGGATCTAAGCTAGTTCAGTTGCCTAAGGAATAGTGCTAGATACTCAACACTAATTCTTTTTCTTTTTCATGAGAACTTCCAATTTTCTTCACCCATGATAATGATTAATTAAACGTCAGTAATAATAAAGCAAAATTCCTAGGAATAAGCAGTAGTTACTCTGTTCCTACAGCGATGTACCTCTCTGTGAAGACTACCTGTCAACCGCCTACCTTTTAGGGACATACTCCCGTCCCTACATGAAAATTCTATCATTAAGGTAGGAAAATTCTTCCATACAAGGATCTCTGAAGAATAACATCGATAGACTATGCCAAAATCAAGCAGTCAGAGGCAAATCTAGAATCACTGCTAAGTTGTACCAGTACACATGGAAATGTAGAATATTAATAGGAAAACTTAAGATATCTTTGACGCTTCTAATTAGATAATAAATTAATATGGTGGCGAGCAGCAGCCCATCTTATTCATTCTAGTATTATAACTGCAGTTAGTATAATTTCTAGATTTACGGTGTCATCATTATTAATTTATTTGTTGGGATGTACTATGCAGAATAAGGTACAGAGTAGTACTCCATACCTATATCTACAGTATATCACTATGATCATGTCATAGGGCTGATATATGAAAGATATCCCCTTAGCAGAAGCAATAAAACATTAATCACTAGTTTAGCCATCACTGTCGCTGCATTTCTGATATCCATCTAAAGGCGGTACTGTCTAGGTGAGGTAGATAAGTAAGGTATGGATTAGGGAAAATGACATACACCGTTATGCATAACATCACAATGAATAATAATCACTCCAACTCTATAGTCATGATTGTTATGAGTCTGCACTCTCATACTGAAAGGAAGTAACCAGCTTATAAGTGCCTTCTACTATTATCAGACTTTGTTTTTGCAGCCCAATGATGATAATACTGTAGGCCATAGAGAGGTACTAAGTAGCCTCCCATCCAGCCCCGACGTCGGCTGGTCTTTTTTTTCTTTTTTTCTGCGGTGTGTGCCAAGAACTGAAAGAGTCACTGCTTCACTACTTCTCAGTATCTACTACTACAGAGATACCAGCCAAATCGTTCATTTAATCCAATTATTTCCCCTTTCACGCTCCTGTCTTTCTTTCATGCGTTTCCAATCAGACTGTTGATCTGGCCATATTTGACGTCCCTGATACTGCGATGGCTGTCTCCTCCTTTATTATCAGAACGCCCTGTTCATCGGCCAATATCGGCCCTGGATTCGATGTCATCGGCCTAGCATTGTCGCTTCACCTCGAACTCCATGTCACCATTGATTCTTCCAAATCATCGTCCGAGCACCCTTTGAATTGTGTGATTACGTATGAGGATCAGAGCAAGAGTACTGAGAAGATTAGCCTGGACCCGGAGGTTAACCTGATCACCCGTGTAGCTCTGTACGTACTTAGATGCCATGACCAAAGGGCATTCCCGGTTGAGACCCGAGTCCATATTGTAAATCCCATTCCTCTGGGTCGAGGCCTTGGTTCGTCAGGCACAGCAGTGGTTGCTGGCGTGATGTTGGGAAATGAAGTAGGCCGTCTCGGGTTGAGCAAGGACAGGCTACTGGATTATTGCTTAATGATTGGTAGGTAAATCTGGCCTTTTTGCCCACATGGGTTGAATATGGCTTGAGTTGCACATCAGACATATCATATTTGACCTTGTTACTGATGGTTATCTTTCTTCTTTAGAGAGGCATCCGGACAATGTGGCTGCCTCACTCTTTGGAGGCTTCGTCGGTACCTATTTGAATGAGCTGAAACCCGAGGATGTAGCTCGCAAGGAAATCCCGCTCAGTGAAGTTCTCCCTGCCCCTGCCGGTGGCATTGATACTGGCAGGAGCCCCCCCGAGCCTCCTCTGGGCATCGGCCATTATCGAAAGTTCCAATGGGCCAAGGAAATCAAGGCCATCGCGATTATCCCAGACTTTGTGGTGCCCACTGCCAATGCACGAAACGTCCTACCTACCACGTACACCAGAGCAGACGTCGTAAGTCACACCCATCTCAACCATCCGCATGACGAATCGTTGGCGATGCGCTTCTCGTCGGTCTAATTCGCATTGTCTTCGCTAGGTTTTCAATTTGCAACGTGCTGCATTGCTTCCCGCAGCACTGGGCAGTTCTCCGCCAGACCCAGATATGATTTACCTGGCCATGCAGGACAAGGTCCATCAGCCGTACCGGAAGACACTTATTCCAGGTTTGACGGAGATTCTTCAGTCTATGAACCCATCTACCCAGCCGGGCCTGCTTGGAATTTGTCTATCAGGTGCGGGGCCTACCATTTTGGCTCTAGCCACCGACAGATTTGAAGAAATCGCAAGCCGCATTATGTCCCACTTTGCTTCCAACAACATCTCCTGCCAGTGGAAATTACTGGAGCCTGCCCAAGACGGCGCCACAGTACAACATTGAGGCTTGGATGCTCAAGATATCTACGACAAAAGTAGCAAGAGAGGAGTCTACTAGACAACTGGTGGCATATTTCTCTTTGAGATGTTCCATGGTTTGCCATGTATATTATTTTCGAGTCTGTTGGTGTCAAAGCTGGGCTGAGTTTCTGCCCTTGTGCGGCGTCGATCGACTCATTACATGCGTCATGGGCCGGCCAATATCCGAGCCCGGGAGGGTATACCTACCCCAGCTCAGGTCTCATCACAAAATGAGAATATAGTACTTTCAAAATTGGTTGTCGAGAACTCTGCCTTGGCATCTACAAGTGATTTGATGTAAAAAAAATGACAGCAGAATATAACTGACCATATACCTATCTAACCCCTCTCGGACGTTACCGCCTTATCTGTACCTATTCAAAGGCGGTCAGGCAAACCCCAGGCGGGCCAGCTTGATCGCTCCGACTTGCGGGCGATCAACAACTCTACCTTACCGTTATTGGAGCTTCATCCCCAGCCAGAAAACCGATATTGACTATTGGACAACCAGATAATAGTTGTTACTCGCAATTATCTTCGTTATGGATGATATCCTTGCGCCCATACAGGATGCTTTCGAAGGCCAGATTGTTTGTTGCCTCCTGGACGCACTCGTTTCTAATTGGTCTTGTTTAGCCACTGGGGTTAGAAGCTAACCTGGCAACTTGACGGTGACTTAGGATTTCCACGGCCAGCGCATCGCCGAGCTGCTTTCTACAGCTCTTTTGATCATTTCAGGAGTAAGTACAGATTCAAGATCAATATAACTGCTCTCCCCTTACATCCCCATGTTCACATATGTTCGTTTACTTACAAGCTCTCCTCATTCCTAAAGGTCGCTGCTTTTCTCATCGGATACATTTACGAAGATATACATTTAACGCTCTGGACTGGTTTGGCGGGTACATTAGTGACGGCATTGGCTGTTATCCCTCCTTGGCCTATGTACAACAAGCATCCTGAGAAATGGCTTGTTCCCACGACAGGGAGTGCGGGCGGCCCAGGCATCATGGTTGACGGTGTCAAAGTTGCATAATCTCCTAATAATCTCCTTGACCGACCAATTGAGTACCACATGAAACCAATCTTATCTTTGCGATCGTGATGAGTTTGGATGTGCGCATCAAAGCCTCTGGCCAAGCAACGTTCGATGAAAAACTATGAACGCCATCCAACCCGGTTTGCTCTTCGCCATCAAACCGTCCTTTCCCTTGTCAATTGAAATCCCAGACGATCGATAAAGTCCGTATTCTAGGTTATGCGAGATCAAAAGGAGCAATCACAAACTGAGGCTTGCGTAAATCCCCGTATCTTTAATCTACCTGCCGTACTTCTGGAATTCCCAGTCTCGGTTATCCAACGGACAAACTTGTCGGGTTTTGAGCCAGCGAGATATGCAGTGGAAGTGGAATGCATGCTGAGAGGCAAAACGTTTGTTAGCCCTAGATGAAGCAAAGCAGTCGCTAAAGCGAAA